CATACTTAATTTGGTAAGTAACTGAAAATCCAATTACATAGTGGGGAAGCAAAGTAAAGAAATAATCTGTTTTTTGAAAGTCTCTATGGGTGTATAGAGTTCTCCCAAAGTGAAATCAATGAAATCTCTCAAGGTTTTGCCAATAGTGTTCACTGGTCTCCACAACCAACACCAAAAAACCTTTGTGAATATTTTGATTCTGGCTGTGATCCTGTTAAACTTGTAGATTATGAAGATAACGAAAAACTACACGCGAATATTCAATTTATGTAAGGATTGACTCATCATTATCTATGTAGTATACTCTAATATCTAACAAGATTTTTTTTTGTCAGAATATTTAATATGTCTAAGAAGGGAGCCAAGACAGAGGAAGAACTTAAATTTACCACAATATACCCTTTATTTAATGCAGTTATGGACACTTCATTAGTGAAAGATATATGGTATGTGATTGTGTGATGATTTACAGCAGGGTATATAATATTAAGAGATTTGTATCTTTGTGCACATAGGGGAGAGACTCAGGCACTTAGTTCGAAAAACTTGAGGAATGAAAATGCAAATCCTTTTATCAAAGCTCACATGGGAAGAAAGGTGGATATGAGAGGCATACTCACAAGGACTTCCAATAATTTTGAAGCCTTATACGGAGAAGTAGCATATGGACTATGTCCACTTGGCATGTCACTTGCTTCACAGAAAAAGAAATATTTAGATAAAGTCAAACTTGCTGTATTAATGCGAGACTCTTTGAATTATATTCTCAAAAAATGGAAATATTTACATGACAATCAGAGAAAGAAGCTAATTGTATATGGTTGGCTACTTGTAGGTAGGTTCATTCTGACAGATATTTTATGTGTATGACAATTAACCTAGACTTGCTATATAACTGATTGATTTATTTCACTCAATGCAGGGTTGGAATTATCTCTATATGCGATGAACTGGGCCGGAGATGGGATATATCACTTTGGACTAATAGAAAGTTGTTCTATTCCATCAAATAAAGAAAACTGTGCTTTACTTGAAGGTGCCTTTTGCCTCTTGAAAGAATTGGAGGTATGTATATGTATATTGTTCTTGTTCTATCATTATAACCAATTTTCAAATGCTCAACTAATCTGGTTTTGTTCAGAGGAAGTTGACTGAAACAGAAAAGCTCATCCAGGAATTTCAAACCGAAAATATACGTGGAAAATGTAGACAAGTAGCTATTGAAAATAGTCCAACCCTCAATCTTAACAGAACTCCTTAAGTGTTTTATTTCTTAAAAATCTTTCTTTAAATGGTTAATCAATAATAATGATATGGTGTTGACTTTGCAACTTCAAGTTTAATAATTTTACTTCACTATTTTCACTCCAAAAACTAATATATGTAACTGATTTCATCTTTGCACTATAAAGGAAATTTTAAACATATAAATAAACAAAACCAATCTTTTATGTAAGAAAACCCTTTTCCTTATGTCAAAATTTAATTAAGTTTTCTCTTTATTAATTGCAGAAAGCTTATCTTTTATACAAAAATGTATAATATTACAATTAAATAAATTACTGAGCACTTAACTGGTAACTTGTTTCATAAGAAAATATAAATAATATTATATAAATAATAATATAGAAAAATAAGATGGTTGTTGGTCGAATATGTAGATCAAAATTATATATAGTCTTATATAAAAATTAATATGTGAAGATTTTTTTTGGAATGTGTTTTTCGAAGTTCTAGTGTTACAACAAATTTCATTATCACTCATTAAAGTGTCTGCACACAATACTAATATTAATAATAACAAAGTTGATCAGCTAGCAAAACTAGCACACAATATTGATGCACCATTCCTAAGTCTATTTATTACCACACTATGTTCCATCAATAACATATTTCCCATTATGGAACAATAACTTTGTAGAAATCAAATTGTGCCAATTCATAACTAGGGTTTTTATTCATGAATATCATGAATATCATTAAGGGGGTTACACACTATTAAAACAGCAAAAAATCCCTTAATAACATGAGTTGATCACTTGATTTTAATAGTGTGTGACCCTGCGTGACCCCCTTATGATATTCATGAATACAAACCCTAAAAATGACTCCCGAAAATTTGTTACACGAAAATTGATTGTTTTGAACCCCAAAAACTTTTAGACAACGTATGACAAAAATTATTAAAAATAAATTTTTGGTGAAATGGCCGAATTTTTTTATTTATCAAAAAAATATAATTAAATCATGTATTTAAATTTTGAATCAATTCATAATGATGTCATAAATTTAGAAGATCACAAAAAATAACCTCAAATCTTGAACTGTATTAAGCACCAATTCATTTGGTTCATATTCTTCTAACCCTAAATCATATAACTCATGTGGGAAAATTAAATTTTCAGATAATTCCATAGTATTTGGGTGAAGATGAATCAAACTGTAGTTGTTGTAAAAAGAAAGATAAAATATGTTTTAAAAAAATTGGCCTTAAAAATTTTCTAGGAAGACAATTCCAATTAAAAGGATTAGATAAAAATGAACTAGATCTCTGTATTAAAACACAATTGATGGTCTTTAAATCAAATGATGAAAATGATGAAACAAAAAGACTTGATTATAATTATCAATACAACTCATCAATAACTATTTGTCAACAAGTTTTTTTAAAACAATGTGGTTTTAGTAAAATAAAATTATCAGCTTTGCAAGATCATTTAAGAACTGATGGTTTGATTGATTGTATTCATGGTAATACTAATAAAGTTCCTCAAAATAAGTCACATGTAATTGTTAATTTTGAAATTGCACAATTAGTTAAGAATTTTTTATTGCAATATTCAAATTTACATGGATTACCATCTCCTATGAAAATTAGAGATGAATTAGAAGAAATAATTTATTTGCCAACATATATGAAATATACCACAGTATATGAAGAATTTAAAAAATCTTTTAATTCAGAATATGAATCCATTAGACCTATTGCACATACTACATTTTACAAACTATGGAAACAATTAACACCATACATCAAATTCCAACCACCTGGAACTGACCTTTGTGACACTTGTGAAGCATTTAAGACAAATTTAAAATTTGCAAATGATGATGATGAAAAAGAAAATATCAAATTTGAATATAAAAAGCATCAAATGGATGCAGAGTGAGAAAGAGGCCATTATAATAAATAAAATAATTGAAAAAAGAACAAATGATTCAACAATAACACATATTTGTTATGATTGGGCCCAAAGTGTTGCAGCTCCATTTTCCCCTCAACAAGTTGGATCAATTTATTTTAAATCCCCTTTCATCATACACATTTTTGGTATATGTAATACAAATGATGTTAAGAGTGATCAATCAAATTATACTATAGGAGAAGATGAATTACCAGAAGGAAAATCAAAAAAGGGAGCCAACACAACTTTAAATATGGTTTTTGATTTTCTCCAAAAAAATCATCATGTTGATAAAAAAGATCTTTATGTCACATGTGATAATTGTTCTGGACAGAATAAAAACAATTTGTCACTTTGGTTTTGGTCATGGTTAACAATGTTGGGTTTGTATGAGAACATTTATATAAATTTTATGATACCTGGACATACAAAATTCATTTGTGATGCTAAATTTGGATCTATTAAAAAATTATACAAGACCAGTCATATAAATACTGTGATGATGTAGAGACAGTTATAAACAATTCATCTAAATATAATAAGTCAATTAGATATAATAATAGACTAGGTTGGAAGTGGTATGACTTTATTTATTGTTAGAAGATCATTTTAGAACTTTACCAATTATAAAAAAGCATTATCATTTTCACTTTAATAATTCACCAAATAATATTGGAATAGTTTATTTTTCAAAAAAATCTGGTGGAGAAGAATATTCTTATAATCTCCTTAAAAATAATGGATTTGATAAAAATGCACAATTGAATTTTCTTGAAGTTGCTCCTTTAACAGATGACCGTAAAAATATTTATATAATAACATTTGTCAGCATGTAGATAATCCATATAAAGATATCCTTTGCCCAAACCCTAATTAAATTTTATTATCATTACTTGTCATTTTATTATTAATATTTATTATTTTTTGTTTGTATTATTTATATATATATATTATTTATCGAATTTTGGTGCAACAATAAAAAATAGGGTTGTAGATCTCTTTTTAGATTTTACACAAATTAATTTAAAAAGTTCTTTGTTACCCGATCACTCATTTTTTTATTAAACAAATATGATCTGATTTTCTCACCAATTGTAATCCTTATAATATAGATATATATTATGCAAAAAACTCAATTTTGGTCAGAGAGGTCCCTAACCATATATTCCTGGAAATCCCCCATATACTTGAAAATATTTCTGATATTTATTTGCAGATCCACTCAAATTTAATTCTTTTGCTCATCACCACAGGACCAATTTTGTTATCTCTTCAATTTTAAAACAACTATATATGAAAAAACTACAAAGTGAACATAAAATTATATATATAGGGATAAGTGTATATGAAAAGTATTAACAAAGGTAACAAATATAATGGTTCTAATGAATATCAAAAAGCAATTGATTTTTTAGAAAAAGGTTGTAAATGTGGTTGTTCTTCAAGAATTCCCAAAGAAGAATTTGCAGAATTAAGGGAATCCTTTCAAGCTCTTTCTAAGTCCTGAACAAGACATATTTTTAATGGCTCAACTTAAAGCAATGGATGGTGGGTCAATAAGCACCAGCAGATGCCTCAAAAAGAAAACCAGATCTAATAAAAGAACTTTCTATCATTGGGATCACAATACACCCCTTTGTCAAGAAACTTATCTCAATATGTTAGGAGTTGGTAGAACTTATTCTGAAAATATCAGAAATCATCTAATAAACCATGGTCTTCTAGCAAGAGTCCATGGTAATATTAAAAAGATGCCTCAATGAAAAACTAAGATGATGATTGATAAAAATGTTGCAGAAATAGTAAAGAACTTTCTAGAAAATTATGCTGAAGTCCATGGATTACCAAGTCCAGGCAAAAGTATCAATAGAATAACTCAATCAATTGTGTTCTTACCAGCTGAGATGAGTTATAAATCAGTATATAGAGATTTTCTTGCTGGTTTAGAAGAGGATAACAAATTGAAATCTTTAAAATATGATGCATTCAGGAAGTTATGACATCAATTGACACCAGAAATTCAAATCATGAGTCCCAGGGCTGATCTGTGTGATACTTGTTGACATTTTAGAGATGGTTTACATTATAATGCTCGCCAAGAGGAAGAAGCTAAAGATTTGCTCAAAAGATTTAAAGAACATTTGTCTAAGGCAAGATTAGAAAGAAGTATTATAATAAAAACACCAAATTATCAGAAGAACAAAGAAAACTAGTTGATCAACATTATTCCAAGGGTAAAACACAATATTGCAGCGTTGATTCCACTGCTCATTACAGTTATGATTGAGCCCAAAATGTTCATGTGCCACATTTAGATCAACAAGTAAGTAAAATTTATTATCTTAGTCCATGTAAAGTTCATTTATTTGGTATTCAAGATGAAGCAGTAAGGGAACAAATTAATTATGTTCTTAATGAAGATGAAATTATAGGAAAAGGACCCAATGGCACTCTTAGCATGATTTTTGATGGAATTAAGAAATTGAATAAAGGTGAAAAGCATTTAAAGATTACTTGTGATAATGCTGGGGGACAAAATAAAAATAATGTAACAATTTGATTTTATTTGTATCTAGTAATTTGTGGTTATTATAAAAGTATTGAATTGAATTTTATGATTCCAGGACATACCAAATTCAAATGTGATGGTAGCTTTGGTTTAATAAAAAAACTCTACAGAAGAACCAGAGTAGATTGTATGGATAATGTGGTTGAGGTAGTAAAAAGTCTAGTCCAGCAGAATTGAATAAAGTTCAATGTTATGAAGGTGGAAAAGGTTTTCAATATTTGGATATCAAATCTATTTTTGGAATTTATTTTAAGAAATTGCCAAATATACAGAAATATCAACATTTTCTTTTTGAAGCAACTAATCTTGGCATGGTCAAAGTTCAAGAAGTTGCTAATGGACCTTTTGCTGTATTCAATTTATTGAAAACCAAGAAAGCAGATATTTTTGAAGAAATTAGAGCTTTATTTATTTTAGTGTTAACACCACCTCCTTTGGATTACAAAAGACAAGAATATCTTTACCAGAATATTCGCCCATTTGTAAAAGATGAATACAAAGATATTACTTGTCCAAGACCATTCTATATTGGTAACAAATAAAATATTCAGAATAAAATCACCTCCATCACTAATTAATTTGCCTTTACTGTCATTAAGTTTAATAAACTTTTGACAAATATTGTTAGCTTTTTCCACCTTTAAAGTAAAAAAGTACTAAAATGATTTATATAACTTAATTATATTAAAAAAATAAACAAAAAAAAAAGGTAATAAAAAGAAAGTCATGACAAACATTATAAGTGAACTCCAAGAAAATAATAAAAAACTGATAGAAGAAAATGAAAATTTAAAGAAGCAATTAGCAGATAAAGAAGAAAATCTTAAACTAAAAATCTGACATGTCACTGGTCAGTCTATTGATGAAAATGGTGAGGTTGGCATGTATGCTCCTAGGGGAACATGATGGTACAAAAAATTAAACAAAAAATGGATGGATGAAGATAAACTTAGAATGGCAGTAGATCCTAATGAGACCAGAGAATGAGCCAAAAATTGCAAAAGAATTTGATTTGATAACATTACTATTGAAGAAATGTTAGAGGGATTTATTGAAAGTTCAAATGAATTAGGTGATAGTTATGCTGGAAGCTATTCTAGAATAAGCAATTTAAATAATCAATTGATCAACAAAAGAGAGATTATGAAGAGAAGATAGCAGAGTTGGAAGCAAAAAAGGAGGAATTGGAAACAAGAGTAGAAGAGTTAGATGATGAAGTATGAATGGAGCGAGAAGAGGCTGAAAAAGCACTAAATAAAGCCATGGAATGGAGAAAATGACA